AAGTCATCTTCACTCTGCTTAGAATTTAGCTTACACATTTGTGGACTTCAAGACTTTTGAGGAGCTGGGAAGATAGTTCAGTAGAATAAGTGCTTGCCTGGCAAGTGCAAGGTCCTGAGTTCAATCCCCAGTTCCAAAAAAAAAAAAAAAAAAAAAACTTTTGAGATTTGAATGCTTAGTAGACTCTGACGCAGTACTGCATTTTCACTGTCTTCTTTACTCCTTGGAGTACTCCTTAAGGGGAGGTACCGATGGCAGGATTTCCCCGAGAGAGGAAAATTGCTCTCACCCTTGTATAGCTGGTGTGCCCCACGTGAAGCACTCACAAGTATTTGACCCCTGAGAGAGAATTCTGTTTTGCTATTGGAGAATCAGGCTCAGAGAATTGGGCACAAGTCATTTCTCTACGTGTGACTCCATTGTCCTGTCCTCTTAGGTGAAGTCTCTCAGTCTGAAATTTGTGATTCTTGTAACATGTCTGTCTGTTTCACTTTTTATTTCTTAGGCTTTCTGTTTAATGAGATACTGTGTGATTAATTTGTCCCAAATACCTTAGGCTTTTTCAGTTTTGCACTTTGGCTTTTTTTTTTGGTCTTATTTTGGCTTCTAATTTTTTTTTTTTTTTGGCTTCTAATTTTTTAAAACTTTATTTACTTTTTATCTTTTTAATTTTTAGCATTTTTTTGCGGTGTAGGGCATGAAGCCCACAGGTGCTCTCTCACTCGTGCTAGGCAAGCGTTCTACCACTGAGCTGCATCTCTAGTCCTCAGAGCCCACTTCTAATCCGTCCCCTCATGGGAGCTTGTCCTGGCTACCAGTCCAGTCTTTCTTCTCTGTCTCCCATAGTTCTCCAGACCCTCATTGGTCCTCTGGGAATCTGCTGTTGCCTGGTAACAACTTCTTCAGAGAAGTGACAGTTGATCTTCTTCGTAGGGTTTGATTGGATTGACACTGCTCTGGAGTGTGGAGGGTGACTAGGCCCTCTGTGTATTCAGTAGTCCCTGGCAGCAGGTCCTTAATAATAGCTAGGGCTGCCTGCCTGTTTCTTTCTTTTTTTTTTTTTTTTTGGCAGAACCAAGGATTGAACTCAGACCCTTGTGCTTGCCAAGGAAGCATTTATTCTACTGAGCCATCTCCCTGGCCCTGCCTGTTTCTTACTAGAAGTGCTACATATACAGAATTTGCCGTGTCTCGGCCAGGGATATAGCTCAGTGGCATAAGAGCCTGCCTTGCAAGCACAAAGTTCTGAGTTCAATCCCTGGTACCAGGAAAAAAAAATTGCCGTGTCTGACTTGCCATTTTTTTTGGAGGCAAGGGCGAGCTAAGTTGCTTAGGCTGGACTTCAGCTTTTTGACTCTCCTGCCTCAGTCTCTAGGAGGGCTGAGGTATGGGTATGTGCCACCATGCCTCGCTGTGGCGCCCACATTTTAGTTATTCTCTCCTCCTGGGCCTAGTTTCTGCTTTGCTTTGTTATTCTGTGGCCCAAAGGTTTTGTGGATCCAGGCCCTGCTGATCTGTCCTCCAGCCAGCCAGCACTTGTACCACTTGTATTTCGAGAAATTGCTTTTTTTTTTGTTGTATTTTAGGGAAGGGTCTGCACAGGTGTTCAGGCTCTCACTACTAGGTGGGACTTCTAGTGATCCGCCTGTTTACAGTCTCCCAAGAGCTGGGATTACAGGAACATGCCACCATGCCCAGTCTCAGTGCAGGGGGGGGGGGCGGTATGGCAGGCCCCGGGGATCGAACTCCCAGCCCCTGCGCCTGCTCGCAGACCCTTTAATCAAGAAATTGCTTTTTAAAAAAACCTACATCAAAGTGAGATGGGCTAGGTATAGGAGTGCATGGCTGTCTTGAATGTATATCTTTTTTTTTTTTTTTTTTTTTTTTTAAATAATACACTCAAATAAATATGTTTGGGTTGGGGAGATAGCTCAGCAGAATAAGTGCCCAGCAAGCACAAGGCCCAGCAAACACAAGGCCCTGAGTTCAATCCCTGGTACCACCAAAAAAAAATTTTTTTTAATCAAACAAGTTGGTAACACAATACAAGTGTCAAGTTGATAAAATATATGAAAACTCTTGGAATTTAATAAGTTATATCAAAAGATCTCACTAAATTATATTTCAAAAGATTTAAATCAACTATTTTTCAAAAGATTTAATGATAAAACATATTCCTAAATGGAAAGATACACAACAATTGAAAAAAAGTTTGGGGCTGGTGAAATGGCTCAGTGGTCTAATGCACCTACTTAGAATAAGCTTAGCAAAGCACAGGGACTGCGGTTCAATCCCCAGCACCACATGCCAGCCAGCCCCGCCCCCTGGTGGCCTGAGCTGGCCACACACACACACACACACACACACACACACACACAAATAAATAAAATTAAAAAAAAAAAGATTAAAACAATTTAAAAAAAAAAAGAAAAAAAGTTCTTGAAATAATTAAATTAATTTTACTGAGTTAAGGTTAATATATCAGGGGGACCACCCACACAGGACCCCCTCCTGTCCCTCTCTCAGACAGGGGCTTTCTTTTCCCCAATCAGTATATTCTGTTCTTGACCTCCCTTTGTTCCTAAAATTCAGTCTTCGGTTTTAGAGAACACGAGCTCGACCCAGGTGCCTTTAAGGTCAGGTATTCCATTTTTCCCCTCTATCATTCATCTCTCTCTTAGGTTCATCTTTTTATATTTCACTTAGGGTTTTTAAACTAGAAAATAATACATTCTTAGTCATTCACAGGTGAGTATAAAAATTGTTGATTACCACCTGTTCTGTTTCAGTCCATTATAGATTGGTCTTATCCTAGCACCTTGCGGATGGCTTATTGGTCATTGAATATCTTCTCTGAAGGGTGAAAATGAAAAACAGATCCTTTGCTCAGTGTTGCTTGTGTTTTGAGAGGAGCTGTGATGTGTTGCCCAGCCTGGCCTTGGATCTCCAGGCTCGAGTGCTTATTTTGTCCTATCCTCGTGCGAAGCTGGGACGACAGGCGTGTGCTGCTGTCCAACCTTCTTGCTAGCTTCTGAATGTGGATGAGAAGGTCTAACGATTCTTCTCATGTGGGATATGAGTCCTTGTCATAGCAGGTACTATATACCATGCAAAAATGCCCCATCTCATCCTGTGAATTGTCTTTTTTTTACTTCCTCAGTGGTATTGATTTTGGCTCTGAAGTTGTTTTGTTTTTTGATATAGGCTCCCACTGTAGTCCCGACTGGCTTCACACTCACAGCGGCCCTCATGCCTGAGTCCCCAAGTGCTGGGATCGCAGGTGTGCGCTCCAGGCCTGGCTGATGCATGTTTTTCCTCTGTCACGTTCAGCTCTGTGGTCACAGCTAAGAAACTGTTGTTTCAGTGGTTCTAAGGGTTTTAGTTTAATTCCTTTTCTGGATCTGTGATCCAGTTGAGTTAAGTTTTTATATGTGGTAGGGGGTAGGGTCCTCCCAAGCTGCATTTTTTATTTTTTATGTGAATATCCAGTTGTGCAGCACCATTTGTTGGAAGAAACAAAAAGATACTACCAAAAATCAACTGACCATAAATGAAAAGGCTTCTGTCTGAACTTTCAATTCCGTTCCTTTGACCTTTATGTTTATCCTTATGCCGGGGCCACACACTGGGGCCACACCCCGTGGACTACAGTAGCTTTGTGTAGTCAGTTTTAAATACTTTCTTTTTGTTTGGGGCACTAATAGGAATGGAGCCCAGCAGGTCGTTTGCATTGAATGACATCCTCCAGCCCTTTTTTATTTCGAGACAGTCTCTCTCTCAGTTGCCCAGGCTGGGCTCAGCCTCCCAGAGCACTGGGATTAGAGGTTTGCTGGCGCATCTAGCCCTATTGGTAATTTATATGTGAAAACTGTTTTCTTGAATTTCTGAAGTGTCAAGATACTCTTTTTAGTAACATAGCTGTAGAGCTCCCCCTTCTGTGGTTTTCATGAAATGTGTTAAAAACAGAATTTCATGATTTCTGAGATATGGCTGTTCTTTGCAATCAATTCTTTGTTTTTCACTTTTATTCATTTTAGGAATTACCTTCTGTTTCTGGTATACATGCACTTCACAGAAACATTAGGAAAAAACTCGGTCCCTGGTCCTGTTCATGTAACCTCTTTTGACTATTTTTATGAACAGGTTATATGTGGACTATATTTGAAGTCAATCATCAGTTGAATAAAATGTCAAGAAATTCCTTTTAAGAAAAACCAGTATATATTTATCAGAGTTTAATATAATTGTTCTTTCTTTGTGGTGCTGAGGATTGCCCACGCCCTTGCTAATCTTAGGCAAGTGGTCTGCCAAGTACATGCTCTTTTTTTTTTTTTTTTTTTTTTGAGATAGGGTTTCATTGTATAGTGAAACCTTGAACTCACAGCATGATCCCCCTGGCTCAGCATCCCATGAGCTAGGATTACAGGCTCGAGCCACCACGCCCAGCCCAGTTGTGTTATCTCCCTCCCTCCCTCTTTTCCTTTTCTTTCTTTTTTTTTTTTCACCTTCAGAAAAGTTTATTAGCATGATTAAAAACATTTTCTTGAATAATCAGAGAAAAGAATTTGTACACATGAAAGAATTATCAGTAGCTCTATCTTATAACTAATATTTGGAACTGAGTGGATGACTTCATTGCTAGTCTTCATTTCACTAAAAGCAATCCATGTATTGGTTCCATGAAGCCATGACTATTGCTTTGAGGGTGAATTCCTGTTGCAATGGAGTATAAAAAATTTTTTCCATCAGAATTAGATGTATGACCTGCACTGGAGTATGACTCTTGAGTAAAGAGCTGATAAAAATCCACGGAGAGGGGCCGGGGAGATGGCTCAGTGGAATAAGCGCTTCCCTGGCAAGCACAAGGGCCTGAGTTCAATCCCCGGTTCTGAAAAAAAAAAAAAAAAATTCACAGAGTTGGGTTTTTGTTTTTTAAAAATCCTTTTACATGGTACAAAGAAATTATTAATATTTTGGCTTTAAAAATTCTTACAGGGTACTTGCTTCAGAAGCATGTACAATAAAATCAGAATGATATATAGAGATTAACATGGCCCCTGTGCAAGGATGACATGCAAATTCGTGAAGTGTTCCATATTTAAAAATAAATAAGTGCTGGCCAAATAGTTCAGTGGACTAAAGGGCCTGCTTAGGCAGACACAGGGGCCAGAGGGTCCATCCCCTGTGTGCTGTGCGGTCCCTGCGGTCCCTGCCTGCGGGGCGCGCTGAGATGTTGATTGAGGCTGGGTGTGGTGGTGCATGCCTGTAGTCCCAGCACTTGGGAGACTGTAAACAGGAGAATCACTACGAGTCTGATCTACATAGTGAGACCCTGTAGACCCTGTACTAAAATAAATGAATACAAGGCTGGTGAGATGGCTCAGTGGTCTAAAGCACCTACTTAGAACAAACTAAGCTAAGCAAAGCACAGGGACCGCGGTTCAATCCCCAGCACCACATGCCAGCCAGCCCTGCCCCCTGGTGGGCTGAACTGGCCACACACACACAAAATAAATTAAATAAATAAATAAATAAATAAAATAAAATAAATGAATACATAAAAAAATCGATAAATTCCTACAGATATTTCAGGTGGCAGTACCCAAAGGCCTCCTGTCACACAGCTGTGGACACAGACCCTGCACTGGAGGGTGGCTACTGAGAGCCCAGCCCAATTCCATTCTTAAAAGTAAATGTTTGTATGAATTGTTTCTGAATTTTCTTCTGTTTGATGTATCTAAGAGATGTTGTAAGGCTGGGAATGCATGTCAGCTGAAGAGGCTTACTTTGCCTTTTTAATCCATTCTTGGACAGGGACGTAGCTCTGTGGTAAAGCTGTTGCCTAGCTTTTGTGAGGTCCTGGGTTTAATCCTTACAACCATAACACAAACAAAATCTTAGACTTCTCAAAGTAATTTAGGAGATGTGGTTCCCTGCTTCCTTGGCAGTTCATCTTCTCTTATTAGGAAGACTGGATTCACATATGGTTGGGGAAAGGAATCAGTGCCAGCTGCCACCACTTCTGCTGTGCTCCTCCTGCATCCCCTAGAGACCGGCCTACTGTTCACAGCCGCTCTTTTGGTTTCTAATCCCATTAATGTATCCTGGTTTATTTATTTATTTTGTCTCTTCAGTTAATACAGAAGAGATTATTGATTGATTGATTGATTGATTGATTTTGAACTTTCTGCAAAGCTTTATTCCAGAGGGGCCTTGGCAGCTGCCTTCCTCTTGGCGGCCAGCACGTTGCTCAGCTCCTCATGCTTCCTCTTGGCCCCCACCCTTTTCTTGATGAACTTGAGGGCACGTTTATTCTTAGAGACCTTGAGCAGCTCCATGGCACATGAGGGTGAAGCTGCACACCTCCCGGATCATGTCCCGCACAAACTTGGTATGTTTGGTGAGGCATCTGTGATGGCGGGTGCCTCAGTGCTCACATTCTTAGTCACAAGAAGACTTGTGAGGCGCTTGTTGAGGCCCATGGCCGTGAGATAGCGAAGGGCCATGGCTACTGTTATTCAGTGGTTGCTGTCGAGATGATTTATTGTACACGTTTTGTACTCGGCCAAAATGAAAACAGTAGTCCAGAATGCCACAGGTCCAGGGCAAAAAGCTGGGGGACTGCGTGAGGTTGAAGAAGGTGGATTTCTCTTTGAGGTGGTTTTGGTGATCAGATGGCAGTGAAGTTCTAATCCATTGAGATGTACTGCAGATAGCATGTAGTCCAGTAACTTGTACCAGTGTCGTCGGCCTCCAGCACCGCTTATTTCTGCTCCCTTTGGTCTCCATGGGTGTACAGGCTGTTTCACTTGGACCTCTGTTTCACCTTCTTTTACACTTCAGCCTGCATATTCACTTTTTCCCTTCACTTGGCCCTCATGGCGCAGAGGTTTCTAGGAAGATGGTGTTAAACTGAGTTTATTCTGTGTTGAAATAACCTTTTTTAAAAAATTTTTTTAATGTATTTGGTACAGGGTCTCACTATGCAGTTCAGACTCATTATGATCCTCCTGTTATCAGCACCCCCAGTGCTGGGATCACAGGTTTGCGTCACCACATCTGGACTCGGTCACTGGCTCAGCACATCCAAGGGCAGGGCCAGAGTATCATGTGGTGCTGGGATTGAACCCTGGTCCCTGCAGGCGCTCAGACCCCTGACCTATCTTCCTGGCTCCTGAAATAACCTTTTGCAGGGAGTTATCCTGTGTGTTGCCATCTCCCAGCTGTCCCTGGATGTTGCCTCTGGTCACACTGTTTTGGGTGACTTGCTCTTCATGAACACTGGTAGTTGAGACTTCGTGTGTATCTTCTGTCACTCAGCATGTATGCTCACAGAATCTTTTCTGGTGCTGGACAGGACTGCTGAGGAGTGCTGATGAGGCTTTGAGAGACTTGTGTTTTATTCTTGCAGGGGAACCAGGAAGTGGGACAGAAAGTGACACTTCTCCAGACTTCCACAATCAGGAAAATGAGCCCAGCCAGGAGGACCCTGAGGATCTGGATGGATCTGTGCAGGGAGTGAAGCCCCAGAAGGCTGCTTCTTCCACTTCCTCAGGAAGTCATCATAGCAGCCATAAAAAACGCAAGAATAAAAACCGGCACAGGTCAGTGGCAGGGACCCCGCCCCCACAGCTCCGATGACTGTTGGTATGAAGCGCCCTTCCTAGAGCCAGAGAGCTCAGGATGGACAGAAGTCCGTGACTCCAAATGAAACCACCTCATGTTGTAAGGGAGGAGTTGGTGGGCAGTAGAGTGACCCTAAAAAAGGACTCCAGGACATCCTTCCACTGTTGCTAGCGCAGAACCCTATCCCTAACCCCAAGAACATTGTTTAACATGATGAATTTGAAATCCTTTCAGAAGAGAAAAAGGGGGACTAGAAATGAAATCTGTGTAAATTTGAAAAATGACACTAGTGTATGTTGGGGAAAGTGGGATAATCTTTTGTTCCTACTCCTGATCCCTGCCTACTCTTATGAGAATTGATTTAATGTGCCTTTAAAAAGAATTTTAAATACAAGCTTTTTGATCACTTCCGATTCTTGTGTTTTTATAGTTCTCTACAATATGCTGACTTCAGATACTGGGAAACAATAATAAAAAAAATCGTATAAAATGTGAAAGTACCATCCTAGATAACATTTGTTTACCATGTTTTTTGCAGTGCCTAATGAGATAGAAAGGACATCAGTGGATGGACAAAGAGGTCAGGTGTCACCCAGAGTGATTTTGAGAATTTACTGTGCCTGGGGTTTGTATGATAGTGCCAGGGCCTGTTAACTTAGATATAGTGAATCCTCTAGCATAATTTCTAGAGTCAGGAATCTTGTCTGGCTGCAAACCCAGGAGGCATGGAAATGGATTTTTCTCATTTCACTCTTGTCCTGTTTGCCATGGAAGCGTGCATGCTGAAGAGGTGAAAGGGGCGTGCCAGGGATAGGCTGGGTTCCCTGACCTCCAGTTTGCTTCTAGATTTTGTTGCTTTAGAAACTTGTAGAGCTGGACAAGATGCCACATTATCTATAAGGTGGGAGGGTCACCATCAGTTTGAGGCTAGCTTGGGTTATTCCATAGTGATTTGAAGGCCAGATTGAACTACATAGTAAGACCCTGTCTCAAAGAGCAAAACAAGCCAGGCATTGTGGGACACACGTGTAATCACAGCACTCAGGAAGCTAAGGCAAGAGGACCACCATGAATTTGATGCCTGCCCGGGTTACATAGTTTGAGGCCAGCCTGAACCACCATGAGACCTTGTCACAAAAATTAAAGCACTGCCTAAACAAATCAAAAGAAACCTCCAGGAGATTCCTTCATGCACCAGTGCATTAAAACTTTATAGACTTGGAGTGGGGATGATGTAGAGTTAAATCTTATTGGTTTGCCATTAATTGATTCTAAGAGCTTTTCTTGTGAATGGTAACAGTGTTTTTTTCTTTTTAACTACAGAAATAATATTTTCTCCAAACAGTGACAAAGAACTGCTGCTTAACGTTTTTCTACACATCAAAAGTCACCATGTTAATCTCAAAACTATAGTAAGAAATAACAAAAATTGCTTTATTTTACTTTACTTTAATTTAATCTTGTTTGTGATGGTGGGAATAAGGCCCTAAGTGATTTGACCACCATCATGGACTTGTTGCTAATTTGCCACGCATATCAGAGAACACTGCTCTGAAAATATACTTAATTTAATTTTAAAAGTTTGAGTTGAGTGCTGGGTATCAAATCCTACATGCTCAGCAGGTGCTCTGTGTACTATTGAGCTATATGCCCAGCCCCTTAAAAATATTTTTAAACTGGTTGGAATGATTAACTGTTAATGTTCTGTGTTGCAAGTGTTGTTTTGAAGTAAATGGCTCTTTTCCTATTCCAGAGTGTCTAGAGTAGGGAGAAAATTCCTTGGAAGTGTCTAGGACTTTTTCCATTACTGATCAGAATTACCGTACTCTAGGTAGCTGTTTCTGTCAGGTAATATCTCATTTTTGCTAATGATGTATCAACTGATTGTTAAAAGAGAATATTAAATTTAACTTTTTTTCTTGCAGGTTTCTAATAAATTCCATAGAAAAAAAATTCCCACTTTCTTATTCTTTCCTGCCCTGGCCTTAGGAACATGAGCACCCCTTCCATGAAAACACTGTGTTTATAAAGATCTTTGGCATTTATGCTTTTGCAAATGGTGCTTCCTGTTCCGGAAGCAGATCTTTTTTTAAAATTTCCCTGCCTTTCCTCTGATTCTGTATCTGACTGTGTCCTCCCCAAGGGAGGAGCGTGGTGCGGATTTGCCTTCTCTCTCAGGATGCCTGAGTGGTCCCTCCGTGGCCCCAGTGGCTGTCGGGAATCGAGTCTGGTCTAAGCCCCTCGCTCCCAGCTGACATCATGGGCTGACAGATGGGGCTGTGGGTGGAGCGTGTCGCCTGCGCACATGGGTACGTGGGCATCAGTGCGTACTTGCTGCTCTTCTTGTGTCGCTAGCTGCTGTAATCAGAGTTAGTAGTATGCTATGTCAGCAAATGTTTGAGTGCTTATGTGCCGGGCACTGTTCAGTGGTAAAATAAATATATTACTTTAGGAAAAGAAAAATAGCTTCAATTTGCCCTCTTCTGGATTAATGAAATTTAACAATATTTTTTAATATTCATAAACAATCACGTGTTCTGAATTCTTGTATTTTGTATGACATCTGAAAAATAATTAAGTCCTAGTGTCTTTATTTATTTATTTTTATTTTTGTCGTTTTGAGACAGGCTTTTGCTGTGCAGTTCAGGCTGGCCTTGAGCTCACCTTTTAGCTCAGACTGGTCTCAAAACCGAAGCCATCTTCCTGCCTCAGCCTCCGAGTACTGGGATCTCAGCCCTGTGCCACCACTTCTAGCAAGTCCCAGTATCTATGAGGAAAAAAATTGAAATAACTCACAGCTGCTCTTATAGGCTTTTACTATTAAACGAAACTCAAGTTTACTTGAGTTATAGGGAATTGAACCCCAGGACTTTTGCAGTGAACTACCTCCCAGTTCTTTTTTTTTATGTTGAGACATGGTCTCACTAAGTTGCCTAGACTGGCTTGAATTTAGAATCCTCCTGCTCTGTGGTCGTGCCTGGCTCACACTCAAGTTTTGATACATTTAAAACATTTTATTTAGTTTTTTGAGACAGTCAGTGTTTTCACGATATAGTTCAGATTGGACTTGCATTCTCTGTGTAGCATAGGCTGGCCTTGAACTGTAGCATTCTTGCCTCACCTCCCAAGGGCTGAGATTACAGGGGTACACCACATGCCTGGCTCATTTTTATTTTTTCTTGTTGCTAGGGATTGCATTTGGCCCCTTGAGTGCTAACCTAACTACATATTTTGAGCGAGCTATACCTTCGGCTGTTACAGTGGTGAACACTGGCTGAAAACAAACTATTCCCTGAGGCTGTTGAAGTTCCATTTTCTTCTAACTTCACCTCTGCATACATTGTCCGGGAGGCAAATGCAGCCATCTGTATAGGGCTTTAGTCCACAGTCTGCAGGGTGCGGGAGCCAGCCGAGGTGCTGGGATCCAGCCCAGGGATAGTGTTTGCTTTGGGACCCTGCCCAGACCATGCCCCACCAGCCGGGATGGCACAAAACCATCCTCTGCCACTCCCTTCCGGGTCCTCGAGGTGTGGGTGCTCGTGAGTGCCCGCTTTCCTTCCTGTTAACAAGGCCTCAGATTTTGCCATTTCTTAATTGCTGCCCTGCTGCAGACTGTTAACTGCCTGGTATCACCACTTTAGGGGACACTGCTGTTTGGATTTTGGAACAAGACTCCGCCATTCAAGTTTACTCATTCAACCTTGGCTTCTAGGATGGATGCCTTAGCAAAGAGTACCGTGTTCCTGGACACTTTAGAACGTAGAACGCCAGTAAAAAGTTGCCAAATGTTTTACTTCTCTCAAAGTTTGAAATGTATTTGCCATTTATTTTAGTGAAAGTATAATATACCGAGTTATAAGTACCTTTCGTTGTAAGACTAAACCTTTTTCCTTCATTTCTTCTAACGGCCCGATAACACTTCTTGAAGCAACTATTGAGCAAGTTCTAACTCTGAATCTGGAAGCTAATGAAAGAGTTGCAGTGATCTGTAGTTTTCTAATGAAATCACTTTTCCTTACGTTGTCCTTTCTTCTTCTCTGGAATCCATTGAGGGAAGGGAATCTCCTCACCGCAGAGTCTTTGGTGCTTTAATGTTTGAAACTATGGCTGAAAATTCTGAAAACTGATTTTATTTCTTTAAATCTGGCTAGGGTGGCTAATCGACTAATTTGTTCAATTAGTGTATTAATTTCTATTGCTTTCTTCCTTTCAAATGCTGCCCCTCAGCCCGTCTGGCATGTTTGATTATGACTTTGAGTAAGTTTGATTTGAATTAGTATTTGTGCTTTGTTGTTTAGTATGTAGACATCAGTATGCCTTTTTGAGACTTTTCTAACCCATAGTTTATCTGTTTAATTGTAGGCATTTATATTAGGTTAGGCTGGGAAGTTTTTTTTAAAAACAGAAAAACATGATGGAGGTAACATTTTATTTAATAACAAGCAAAAATGAAGTACACTTCACTTTTATGCATTTCAATTTCTTTTTAAATAGATAATCTTTACTTTAATTCATATTTAAATTGATTTTCTGGCTTTGCTTCATAAAGAAATTAATAGTTTTAAGATTTCGATATTTTGCTTTGGAAACATTTAAAAATTGAAATTCTTTTAATTTCTTTTGTGTTTCATATCCAGAAATACAAACTCCTAGTCTCTTTCCTTTTCTTAGTGACCATGCATCTCAGTAATTTTCAGTGATAGTTACAGAGCTAATATGTTAATGTAGAGCATGCCCTTTTAATCCAGTCTCTTTAGCAAGTAGTTTTGGAATACTTTCTAGGAATATGACTTTTGTAACTGCTGTGTTTATGTCATCCCAGTTTGCCTTAAGGCAAAAGTATCTGCTCTTCTTTTTTAATACTTGCTTAGAAATACCTGGGTAAACAACTAAATAAGACATAGTCTAATGGAGAATATGGATTTTACCTAACCAGGTACCTTTGTTATAGCTTGTGCCCTATGCAGTAGCTGATTGTTGAACCCTTTTTCTGTAAATTAAAATGCAAATGTCTTTTATCTTTCCTATCACAGGATTGATCTGAAGTTAAACAAAAAACCACGAGCTGTAAGTATCAGTGAGACCACTTGAGAGAGGCTAGTAGTTTTATAGATAATTAGGAGAATGTGTCATCTTCAGAGTTGTAGAGTTCCCAATCTAGGTCACACTTTTGAAGTCTGGTATGTGCATCTGTCTATACACTTTAACTTTTAGATGCTATTTGCTTTTTATTTTGGAGAGAGAAAGGTCACACTTGGGCTGTTTCTGTTTTTGTTTCTGTTTTGATACTAGGGATTGAACCCAGGGCCTTTGGACTGAGCTATATCTCTAGCCCTTTTTACTTGTGATCCTCCTGTCTCAGCCTCACAGAAGAATATTGTTATTACAAGCATGCATCATCATGCCCAGCAAGAAAAAAAAATCCCTTTGATTAAATAATAAATAGTTGCTACTGTCTTTCTCTCTCTCTGTTTTTTCCCTTGCTGGTTGATGGGTTTATGTGGTCGAGTAAAAGTAGAATTGATGTTTCAGTTGATGTCTCCAGAGAAAGGCCATTTTCAGATGTGGGCTACTGTATGTTGCATTTGAAATACGATCTCTAGCTACAGAACAATTTCTTAGCATGGTTGCTTAGTAGATTTACTTTTTCCTTAAGGTCAAACCAGTGTTCTGCAGAGAGTAAGTTGGGACTTTTGTTTCTTTCTCTTCAGGACTATTAGAAGACTCATTAGTACAGAGGCGTCCAGGCCGTAGAGCCCTGCTTTCCTTCTCCGACCGCACACAGATAAACATGCCTCATCCGAGTGCGCGGCCCTCCCACCTCTACTCTCCCCGACCTGTGCCTGTGAGCGAGTAGTTGTTCTAAATGTGCTGATGAGTCATTTCTGTAAGACATTGCATCGTTGCTTTGTGTCATTTTTAGAAACAGAACTGCAGGGAGACCGAGACGTGGCTGTAATCCCAGCACATTGCTCTCCGTGCATTTCTCCCTTAGCACGAACGTCTCCGTAAACCGGCTGGCCCCAGCGACCTCGCGTTCCCCCTGAGACATGTTCTCTGGTTTTGTATTACACTGAACATAGACCACAAGTCACCTTTCTGATGTAGGCTGTAAATATCTGGTATTTCTCTTCTCTTATTTTGTGTTTCATTATTTTCCTGTTGTTTTCATCATCTTTCTTTCTGGGACTTTCTGTGATGCCTTTGTACAGCTCATGCCTTCCTGCTGACATATCTGGTGATCTGTTTCATGCAGTTGCCAATATTAACTGAGAAGAATGTGGTTTACTGTAAGCAAAATGGGAAACTTGGCTCTGTGGGGTTTTGCAGGGGGAAGGTGAAGAGTGTTTATTTAATAATTATCTATCTTAAATCTCTCCGAGGTGGAAGCAGTTTCGTGTTCAGGGAACAGGAGCTGAAAACCATAAATTACAATCAGTCCTTTTAATGTAGATATTTTTATTCTTTTGTATAAATAAAATTCATAGGTCTCAACTTGTCATGCTTTACTTTTAAACCTGAGAATTTTTTTTTCATTTATTTTATTCATAGTATGGCTTAGGAAAGTTTCTTTTTTCCCCCCATCTTTTCTTTCTTTCTTTCTTTCTTTCTTTCTTTCTTTCTTTCTTTCTTTCTTTCTTTCTTTTTTTTGTGTGTGTGTAATCAGGGACTGAACTCAGGCCCTTGCACTTGCCAGGCAAGTGCTTATTCTACTGAGCCATCTCCCCGACCCTCTTACCATCTTTCCTTTTTGCTGATATTCACCTGAATAAATTTTGCTCCAGGAGTCACCAGGGCAACGAAAAGGGTAAAAATTATACCACGCCAGGCGTGGCAGCACACACCTGTATTGCCAGTGCTTAGAAGGCTGAGACAGGAGGATCACTGAGTTGGATGCCGGCCTGAAGTACAGAGCAAGACCCTGTTTAAAAAAAAAAAAATAGACACCAAAAGCTGATAACAGAAAATTATTGTGTGTGTGTGCATGCTTGCACGCATGCTTTTGAGACAGGGTTTCACTCTGCAGTTGAGGCTGGCCTTAAACTCCCAAAGACCTTCTTGCTTCAGCCTTCTGAGTTCTGGCCTGACATGCGTGCATGCCCTGGCCAATTGAAAATGTTTTTGCGTGAAGTGAAAGACAAGGTGAGAGCCAGCATTGCCCAAAGAAACTCCCTTCCTTGTAGAGTCCGGGCTGAGGAGCGAGTTACCTGCCTGGAGCTGCACATTGTAACCACTTGCTGTCTGGGTGTCACCCCTGGAGACTCTAGGGTGCAGCCTGCTTACTGGGATTTCCTTCCAAAGAGTTCCCAAGAGGTTGGTGAGAAACCAGGTTGATACTGATTTGATTTAACCCTGTGCTGGGGATCAGTGTTAGGGATAAGGTTTGGAGCCCCACCTTTCCTTTCAGTGTGTTTAGCCTTAGCGCTTTATGCTGTAGCTTTATAAGAAGTATGTCCCTGGTGTCGCTGTTCATGGAGCTGAGTAGCGATGGATTCTGTTAGAACAAGTCCACCTTGTCAGATACACAGCAGCTTTCACTTTTGTTCGGGGGAAGAATACTTACTATGCTTTTAAAACTCTGTGACAGTTTTAAATGACTTTGGCTTTGATAGCAGAACTCTAATGTCAGGGTTTTTAAGAAAATAGTTCCTTTTATTTAGTGTTTCTTTATAAACAAAGCAAGCAAACCAACCCCAGGAGCTTTCTATATCCTTTGTTAGTTTGTCCCATTTTCTGGGAGGTGGGATTAGGATTCTGGGCTTTCCTTGAGTCAGGCGAGCGCACAACAGACATTAAAATGTCTCTAACTCAGTTTGGCAATCTCTACCGAGATGTTTGTACTTCCCTTTTTGTTTGTTTTTTGGTACCAGGGATTGAACTCAGGACCTTACACTTGCCAGGCAGGCACTTATGATGCTGAGCTGTATATCCCTTGCCCTGTACTACTCTTTAAGAGGTATGTTTCCAGGCATGGTGGTACTTGCCTGTAGAACCAACAGGCAGGAGGCTGAGGCAAGAGTACTAATTCAAGGCCTCCTCTTGGTCACTTGGCAAGTTCAAGACCAGCCTAGACTACATAGTAAGTCCGTGTCTCAAAAACAGTACAAAATAGGTGTCACTTATTGCAGTGCTCAGTATCAAGCCCACGCCTACATCTATGCTAGATAAACTCTGTCACTTAGCTGTACCTTCAGCTCCTGAAGGTATATTTATCACCCAAAAGGGTGTCTACCATGTGTAGAAACATGGTTAGAAATGGGCTAGTTGGCTTATACTTATTTTCCCTACAGAATTTAACCACTGATTAGGGAATGTTGCTATTTTCCTATAAGTTGCATAGGGATACTGGAGGCAGCCAAGCATGCTCCCCACCCCTTTTTCTGGTACATCTCTGGCCTTTTTTTAAGTTTTGCAGTCCTGCCTCAGCCTCCCTGAGTCCTGGGATTAAAGCTGTGTTCCAGCCTGCTTGGCAATAGTCGAGTTGTTAGAGATTGCTTAGTTTCCTTACAATAGGGTCCTTTAGAAAAGTGGTTCCCTGCCTGCCATGTACCATGCTTTTGACACTGAACTTTGGTTATCAAGTAATTTTGCTTGATTTTTTAAGATTAGGATGAGGGGCTGGGGTGATAGCTCAGTGGCATAAGCACTGCCTGGCAAGTGTAAGGTCCTGAGTTTGATCCTTGGTACCACAAAAAAAAAAAAAAAAAAAAAAAAAGGATGAGGTGGGGCCAAGGATATAGCTCAGCAGTATTAAGTCCCTGCCTGGAAAGCTTAAGGTCCCGGGTTCAGTCCCCATTACTGCCAAAAAAAGAAAAAAAAAAGATGAGGTGATGGCCTTGATCAAATTATTGTTTTAAAAAAGATGCTACCCAGTTGTAGTGGCACACAGCTGTAATCCCAGTGCTCAGGGGGTACAGATAGGAGGCTTCCTAGTCCAGAGGCAGCCTAGGCACCTTGGTGAGACTAGAAGGAAGGAAGAGGGAAGGAACAAGGAGGGAGGAGGGCTGCATTGTCAGGACCGTACTGGTGGAGTCCGTCTTGGGTAGCCTGTAGCCTCCTACCTTACCCTGCAGCAATGCTGAGCACCAGGACCCGTGAGAAGGTGCTTGCTTGTGCTTCCTTCATCCCTGGGTTATTTGGATTCTGAACAGTACTTTCCTCATGGTATAAGGACAGAAAATGAATTGGTTAAAAGAACTAGAGTCTTGTGAAAAGGTTGACTCCTGGGGCATGACCCTTCTTCCTTTCCCCTAATCCAGAGGGACAGAGGCGCACTAGGAGGACTGAGGGAGCCATAGGCATTTGTTTCTGCCGTGTAGGGCTGTTTGCTGTTCTGTTCTTTATCCTTCTCCACTCAAGGGACAATGTTGTCCTTTGTTCATTTTTGATAGTTATGAGACATTAGGAAGAATGAGATAGTCAAGGAGCGAGAGAAAGGGAGGGAGGCACGGAGGGAGGGAGAAACACCAAGCATGGGAACCCAGGCCCTGCCTAGTAACATACTTATTCCAGGGAAGATGGTATCAGCAAGAAAGCTTCTGATGAGGTCTCAGGTGGATTCTTTTTTTTTTTTTTTTAAGGGGGGAATATTTATTTAATTTATTTTATTATTGTTGTCAGCTCAGCCCACCCTGGGGGTGGGGCTGGTGTGGCATGTGGTACTTGGGATCAAACTGCGGTCCCTGTGGTTGCCTAAGCTTTCCTAAGCAGGTGCTGTAGACTGTTTTGCTATCTCGCTGACTGGTAGATTCTTCTAAGGATGAGTATATGAATTCTTTTTAGCCTTAGAATGTTCTGAACACCATCCAACCCTATACGTTGAAGATGGAGAGTGGGAACAGCCCACAAAGTAAAAGATGGGGGGTCATCAGAGCTGGGGTGGGGGACCTGTGGAGAAGCCTGAGCTTGGGCAAGGCTGGGGTAGGCTGAGAGCAAGGGCTCGTAAGCTGCTGCCTTCATCCGGAGAGGCCATCGGTTGTAGAACTTCAAAGTGATGTAAGGAGTCATCAGTTACTACACAGATTGAACAGTTTTCTATGATGAAGTTTTTGTTGTTTGTTTAAAAGGAAGTCCTTATTCTGAGAGAGTAGGAAGTAGGCATCAGAATTATTTCCATCTCCAAGCCAGAGCCTTGGGTGCTGGGTGCTATTAAATAGAGTCAATTTTCTGGTCGCTATTTCTGCTAATGGGAGAATTGAAATGAGTGCTAAATAGCTTGTTCTTGAAAATAGTCATGGTTGAGTTTTCTTTTGTTTTGAGACAGGGTCTTACTGTAATTTAGGCTGGCCTTGACTGTGTAGCAGTCCTCCTGCTCCAGCTTCTTGAGGGCTGAGATTATAGTCGAGCACCACCATGTTTGGCCATGTGTGGTATTTTGACTCTTAGTATTTACATTTATGTTGATTTTTCTTCCCCTCAGTTTCATTCCAAATTCCTGAAGCTTTGTTATACTTAAAAATTTAAACTTGAAGCTGGGGGACCCTATCTCAAAAAGACAAAAAAAAAAAAAAAGTTCCTGTCCGAAGCCCTGACTATACTGTGTGGGGAGATGGTGCATTTATTTCTCTTAAGGAGGTATCCTGTTCAGTGCCCAGGACGGCGACAGATACAAGATGCAGGAATGATGGGAAAGAGGGTTTGCAATTCTCTTTCCTGGTTCAGTCTGGAGTGGTGTCATGGCCGAACCTTCTAAGTGCTGGGCTTCATGTTTCAAAAGAGTTTCCACTGTGAACAACTGCCTGGTAGAGTGAGACTGTCTCCCCTGCCGGGGCTCTGTGGGAGTGGGAGCTGGTCCTCAGGAGGGTGGTTCTCACGGGTGCGTAGCGCGGCTGGCTGTGGGAAGAATGGATTCAGCCTTGGGTGTATGCTCACTTTGGGGCTCAGCCTTCTGTATCTCTTCACTTTGAATGTGATTGTGTAACATACACAAGTGTTAGTTCATCAGTCCATGTAGATTATTTATGAATATTAAGTTGAACCATGAGAGATGGCTAATATTCACATTGTTTTGATCTATAAAAATGGCGGTTATCATGGTTTAAAAATAAACTTGTATGTGTTAGCGGGCTGTATAGTCCAAGTTTTTACCGTTCGTGTGTAAGAGTACACTTTGAGCTGGGCATGATGTAGTCTCAGCTACTTGGGAGGTGGAGGCAGGAGTATCTCAAGTTTAAGACCAGCCTGGGCAACTTAGTGCAACACTATCTGAAATCAGGTTTTTGGCGGTGGCCAGGGTCTCATTCTATTCAGGCTGGCCTTAAACTCACTATGTAGTCCACTTTGGCCTTGAATTTGTGTCAGTCCTCTTGCCTCAGCCTGCCAAGTGCTAGGACTATAGCCATACTGAAATTACAAAAAAGCTTCGAAGACTGGGTACAGTATATAGCTCAGTGCTAGAAGCCTTTCCCAGTGCATGTGAGGCTCTGGGTTCAATCTCAAGTACTACAAAAAAGAGAATAAACTTTGGAGACCCTTGGCTAATACAGCCTTCCCCTGCTTGACATTCCTATCCTTATTCGTGTATCCCAGGAATGGAGGGCACGTCACAATAGTTTGAATGCTTTCACATATATTCAATATATTATCTTTATTTTTTATGTGTTTGGTGCAGGGTCTCATACACAGCTCAGACTCATAGTGATCCTCCTGTTTTTAGCCTCTCCAGCACTGGGATTATAGGCGTGCGCCACTACACCTAGTCTCGGTGGCTGGCTCAGCGAACCTGAGAGGGGGGTTGCGTGGCATGTGCCAGGAATCAAACCTTGGTCCCTGTGCTTGCCTAAGCAGGCGCTTAGTCTGCTGAGCTGTCTTGCCAACCCTTATTCAGTATATCTTGATCTGTGAGTGGCTGTAAAAAAACACCATAAACTATAGGGCTTATAAAAAATTTTCCAACAGCTATGGAGGCTAGGAGATTTTGGATCAAGGCATCAGTAGTCTGTGTTGAAGCCCAGTTTCTGACCCACATGACTCTTCCAGGTGTGTCTGCACGCTGGAGAGGAGCTGGCTCTCCCTTGGGCCTCTGTAAGGACACTAATCACAGGCATGGGGCTGTAAGCTCGCCCTTGTGATTGAATTATATTCAGTGACCTCCCTTCCTAATCCATCATCTTGAGGTTACAGTTTTGGGGAACACAGACATTTAGACCATAGTGATGTGTAATAGCATGTATGCAAATGAGCTGAAACTTCGTCAGTTCCAAGCAAGTCATGTTCCTCACTCACCTGTGCCCCTTCTCAGAGGTAACACTTGAGTATCTGTGTGTCCTTCAGGGGAAGCTGTGTCCATGAATGAGCGGTAGGTACACGTAGGTGTCTGCTCACAGAGATGGGAGTATGCTGGGCCCTCTTCTGCTTTGCCTTTTCCATTTCTTAGTCCAGCCTATGTATGACACAGCCCAAACACAGTTACCGTTTTTTGCTGGCTCCTTAATATTCCATTGCACACATGCACCAGAATTTCCCTGGCCAGTGCTCTGCTGAAGGTGTTAGTATTGTTTCCCATCTTCTGCTGCCTGAGACAGTCTGGTAGTGAATAGCCTGACACATATCATCTTGCACATGGTAAATTCATAGCCCAGGGAGTGCTGTGGCAAAGGGCACGTGCATGTTAGGTGATCTGGAGCACAAGTTTCCCTCTAGTGCCAACCCTCATGGGGACAGGGCTGTGTCTGTTTCTACACATCCTGCTACAGTTACAGGCTATAGCATGGCATCTGCTTGTGATTGTAGCACGGGGAATGATTTTCTCTTTTCGTTATTCCTCAGGTTCACAGATTTTTTTGTCTTTCTTAGCAATATTAGAGACACCCAGGGCCTTGTGTGTACTGGCCAGGGCCTCTGCCACTGAGGATTTTCTTGTGTAATCCATCACCTAGAAGGCCTGGAATTTTCTGCAACTTCAGACTTTGTAGAAGGTGTAACAGTGATCTCTGCCTAGGGAAAGCTGCAAATGCCACTATGAATTCCCTGCTTAGGGCTGGGGAGATAGCGCGACAGTCTAAGCGCCTGCCTGGCAAGCGCTAGGACCCAAGCTCAGTCCTTGGTACTGAGAGCCCAGAACCTGAGTGCATAGTGCTGGCCACTGAAACCGGGCATGGAGGGTACGCATCTATAATCCCAGCACTGGGGAGGCTGAGGTGGGAGAATCATGAGTCCAAACTGTGTAGTGAGACCCTGTACCAAATAATAAATAGGTGATTTTTTAAAACAAAACAAAAGGGCCGGTGAGATAGCCCAGCAGACTAAGTAGCTTGCTTAGGTAAACATAGGGACCAGGGTTCAATCCCTGGCACCACATGCTGCACCAGTTGCGCCCCTGGGTGTGTGCTGAGCCAACCTCCAAGACCAGTCATGGTGGTGCACACCTGTTATCCCAGTGATGTGGAGGCTGAAAATGGGAGGATCATTATAAGTCCAAGCTGTGTAGTAAGACCCTGTACCAAATACATTTAAAAAAATTCCCTGCTTAGCCAGTAGAACATGATGAACTCCTGAAGTCCCAGCATTCTGGGAAGTAGAGGCAAGAAGCCCAGCCTGGGCAACTTAGGGATTTAGTGAAACCCTCTCATGAAGAGTAAAAGTGCCGAGAATATGGCTCAACATGAAAGCCCTGCGTTCAGTTATAAGTAATGCACATACACATATGAGCAATCTCCACTTAATAAAATAGAAGTTGAAGCAAAAAGAGTTCCCTAGTTTTGCTGTAGCACATTAAGTTCCACATTAGTCACCTAGATCCTTGTCTCTAAGGCCCATTACTTCTGACCAGTACTGGTGATGACCGCGACTAGGCAGGCTCCTACTCAGGCAGTAACACCAGGAGGGGCCAGCAGGTGGCAGGCAGGGCACCATGTGGTCCGTAGCCTCTGCACATTGTGGCCTGTGGATGCTTCCTGGCTTCCTGAAGGGCCAGCAGTGAACCAGCTTAGTGGGGCGGGTGCTGAGCCTTTCCTCCCACCTACATTCACTGCTGTTTCCTAAACTGGTGAGCACTTTAAGATCACCAGCAGCTGCCTTTAGAGGTACTTTGAGGCCACACCCCAAGATGACAGCCTGGGTCTCCTCCCCCTCCAGGAACTAGCAGAAAGGATTTACATGCCATGGCCTAGGATGCTTTGGTTTTCCTAATTGCCAGGTTCCACTTCCTGCCACTGTCAGCCTAATCTCCCACACCCTTCCCGTGAACTAGGAGGTCCCAGGAATAGGCCCTTACCACCTCTTTCCCACCCACACTGGTGAGGATAGGGAAAAAGAATGAGCCTGAGTTTGAGAAGCCCTTGGCTGCCTTCCCCGGCCGGGCTCAAGCTGACTGTTCCCCTCTCTCCCCAGTTCCTGGTTTCTGTGCTAGAGGCTGGGGGCAGGGGCCTTGCCCTTCTGTGCAGGCTTTATGCCAGCCCCAGGACAGGGCCAGGCGACAGACTTGGCTGGTGGGAAGAGGGACAAAGTGGCAGCTGTCGAGTGTTGGCCTCTTCCCAGAGCTGTCCTCCGTCTCAGCCTGCAGGAAGCTAGCAGTGTTTGGGTTGTTAGCAGCACTGGGTGGGCCTTGGGAGAGCTGTTCTTGGAGTGCCAAAGCTCTTTTGGTCCCTGGGTCCTCAGGGACTGCCAGGCTGCCTCAGTCTGGAATGGGATGGGGACGAGTGGGTAGGAAGACCCATTCACTGCTGTTTCTCAGACAGGGAGGCTGGAAGTTTCTTGTCTCAGTGACAGTCATCCTAGCTTCTGTGCCCAAGGGGGTTTAACCCTTGCAAGACATAACTTGCAAGAAAGGTCTGGCTCAGCCCCTGCTGGTGAAACTGGAGGGCAAGGTGAGGGTGTCAGCAGAGACAGGCAGGAGGCTCTTGGTCCTTTCCCCAGATCATTTCCCGACAGAGCCGGAATTTGCATACTCCCTGGTTTCCCCACCAGCTTCTTGGCTCCTGGAACCAGGAAAACAGGAGGAGGAAAGAGTAAGCCAGGCAGCTGTGTGGAATCTGATCTTACATCACTGGTGTCCCAGCTTTGGTTTCAGGCGTGACATTCTATCCTTGCCACCTTGGAAGCTCAGAGGTGGAGGTGCAGTGGCCCAGTGAGGGAAGTGAGTTGCCCAGGGCCACCAGGCTAGTGATTGCGGCTGACACCTAGCCCTCTGCCCCTCCTGCTGGCACCATGTGAACAGGTATTCTCTAAGCTAGAGAGAATGAATGGAGGAGCACTGTGTTCCTTTTGCAGGTAAGGAAACTAAGGCCATCTGAGTAGATGCCACTCACCCATGCTGTTTAGGTGGATGGTGGGGCAGGAGGTGTGGGGAGGATTTTGGAGCTAAAAACACAAGTCATAAACAGTCTTGGCTGTGGGCCTAGAAGCCTCTGAATAGCTCTGCCTGGAAGCCAGATTAAGAAAGAGGCCTGGAAGGGAGGCTCTGAACACTGGGTAGCCAGTCCAAGAAGGCTGCGCCCATTGGGAAAATGAGCTCAGGCTGACGGAGGCACTGAAGTGGCCCAAGCCTCCCGGGGGCCCAACTCTAGCTGGCAGCTGCTCCACGGTCCTTGCTGATGCCTGTCAGTGAGCCACCAGGGCTAGGCATCGCTTCTTGACATGAGGCACAGCCAGCCGGAACTAATGCCACTCTCCCCTGACTGCAGGATCACCCGTCAGCCTCCTCCACACCCACTTAGCAAGCCACCAGCTCAGGCCTGGCCCAGAAGCAGGTGTGAGTGAGCTTCCTGCTTTCCCTTCCTGGTGACCCCAAGGCCTTCAACTCCACTGTGGACACTTCAGCTTCAAACTAAAAGCGTCCTGTGTGAAGGTTGTAAAGTTAAGAGGGTTACAAGGTCTGTGGAGCCGAGGACACTCCCACCATCCATCTCTGCAGTGGTCCAAGTTCCTGCAAACAGGCCTATGGGTCCTTTCCCTTCCTTGGGTTTAGGTCAGGACCAGCACTCAAGGTCCTGCCCAGCCCGGCTTCCGTAGGCTCTTGGGCAAGTCAAGCATCGCCAAGGGGCTGATAATGAACTGGATGGTCCAGTATTTTAGCTTCCTGTCGTATTAAAAACAGAGGCCCATAAATAGCCTTTCAATCTACAATACAGTTCTTTATTGGAAAAAAGTAGGAATAAGGCAAAATAGATACTTCTTTGTGCAGAAAACTTTGTGAGGAGGCTGGGACCAGCAGGCACAGTGGCACCTTGAAGAGTGGTGTGGGAGGTTTCAACTTAATGCTTGTCAAAGCCCTTTCCTCCATGCACAGCTCCCTGCCCTGGGCACAGGCTTCTCCAGTGTGTTCAGGGTAGAGGAGGAGGCGGGATTGCCAGTGTGGCTTGGTTTCCCACAGGCTACACAAAAGGTTTTAAAAAAGAAAATACAGGTGCAATGAAAGCTTCACAAATCAGGTGAGATGTTCAAAGATCTAACAATTAAAAACTTTAACCCAGCTGATAATTTTTTGGGGGATCATATGATAGTCCTCATTTTCACTTAAATTTTTAACATGTATGCCCGTTTCAGGGGGAGAATGGGTGGGAATAACACTGTGTGGCCTCTTTGCTTTGGGTCTAGATGAGAAGTCCGGGGTGGCGCACAGAGGGACAAGCCCTGTGAACTTGGCGCCCAGGCAGTCACACTAGAGGCCTCTTAGTGAGGAGCTGCTGAGTGCCAGGCATTGGCTTGCGTGAGCTCATGTAAGCCTTATGGCCACCCTGCAAAAGCTAGGTGCCCTTTCATAGATAAGACAGAGGCCCAGTGAGGGACAGTCACTTGCCCAGGTGACACAGTAGCAGAGCCAGACCAGGGTCCCTCATCTCCTAGGGGCCACCCTGGCATTACCTGGCCAAGCCATTTGTGCCCATGCTCCCCTCCCTGCTCCAAACATCTGGGAGGAAGGGGCCTGAGCCGAGCTCCCCAGGCTCCTCACCCCAGCCCCACTCAGCCAGGACTGAGGGAAGCAGCCTGAGCCTTGCCCACACTGCCCTCAGCCCTGCCTGTGGGCCCACATCTATCAAGGCCCAATCCAAGACCTCAAAAACGTGCTCTAGCCTCAGGGGACTAAACGCTTTAGGGAAGCTTCCTTCTAAAGGAAAAACTGTGGCATGGTGTCCTGGGTACAGGTAGGTCAGCCAGCTGGCCTGTGAGTGCCCATCACCCAAGTGCAACACCTGGAACCCCCAAACATACAAAGATGACCACCTCTAAAAGGCTCGTATGGTTCTTTATTGGTGTCTTATGGGAGGACTTCCCACTTGGAATACTTCAAAATTTATACCTGTACATAGCATACATACATCCTCACACTTCTGGGGAAGGCAAGGGTAGAAACAGAGGGCCCAGGACCCCCAGCAGGGGTGAAGGGACAGGTGGACAGAGGTGAGTTATTAAGAAGCATCTTGCTTACTGACATGAAGCCTCGTGCCCTGAGAGCACAATGAGGCCTCATTGGCTTAGAAGAGGGCCTCAGAGGACAGGCACATGGTGCCCAACTAGCCAGTACAGCTGGCGTCCCAGGGATGGGGCGGAGGTGGGGGCGGTGCACAGGGCCCCCGCCTGGGCCTCTGCTTCCCCAGGCCTCCTTCCCCGCCCTGAGAGAAAATAGGGTTTGGGCCTCAGCCACAGACCGACAGCCTTACAGGCAGCGTCTCCTTAAATGACAAGAGATACAATGTGTATCAACAGGGTGATCGCTTCTGACCCACTCAGGCGATGGCCAGAGGTGCTGGGTGGGCCAGAACCAATCCTACAGTATCTTTGGTTTGGGGGTTCCCGTCCCTACTTAGTTCTCCCTCTGTCCAGCCTGCAGAGAGGGCCTTGGGGCTGGAACGGACCTCTGGACTGCAGCCGCCTGGTGCCCCTGTGGACCACACAGCGGACCTACTCATGGAGCTGCTGGGACTTGTAGGAGAGGATTTCGGCAGCCAGCTGTTGGGGATCCAGGAGCTGCGGGAAGCGCCCCATCACAGCCTCCACCAGATGTGGGGGAAAGACACCACACAGCTTGGTGTACACACTGGCCCGCTCTTTGGCCAGACTGCCTGCCCTGTCCCAGGGGCCCCTGGTAGTCCCAGAGCCTGGGACCTGGGGCTCCTGAAGGACTGGGGGCAGCTGGTACGGCTCAGACCAGTACTCTCGAGGAGGAAAGGCAGGTGGCACAGGACTGTAGTCAGCAGGGACACTAAAGTGGCCAGCACCTATAGCATGTCCAAAGGCAGGGAAGGTAGGAACAGCTGGGAGCTCTGAGCCAAAGGCACGGTAGCCAGTATAGGGGACCCGAGATAGACTGGGCTCACTGGGGGCTCCCCCTCGCACGCCCCAGAGTTCTGACATCTGGCTTTCTAGGGAGCCGATGCCGGAATCCAGGCAATCCTGGGAGGTGTAAGGGAGGGAGTCCAGGGTTGGTGCGAGCCAGTCTGTGGGCCCAAAGCTGCCACCACTGCCCACGCTATGTGGGAGGTTCCTCCTGGCTGGGGCAAAGTTCTGTGTCTGCCCCTCTTGGTGGGGCCCCGGGGCTGCCTGGGCCCTCAGTTTCTTCTCATCTAGGCTGCTCTGGTCACCCTCTGTGGGCAGAGAGCCAGACTGAGAAGATGAAGGCCGCTGGCTGCTTCTGTCCTTGGCTGGGGCCCTGGGGGGTGAGAGGAGTGCGTTGGCACGGAGCTCATCAGCCACAGAGCGCTGGGGGCGGCTTGGCCGCTCAGGGTGCAAGAATCGGCATTTGATCCCATAGGTGCATTTCTTTCCTAGGGAGAGAGGAAGAGCGGCTCTAAGCAGCTGGCACATGGGCCTGGGGCTGTGAGGTCCAGTGGCACACGTGCACAGGCAGGCTCTGTGTGAGGAGGGCTATGGAGGGCAGACCTGGTTCTCATACCATAGGGACATGGCTGCTTCCGGTGCTCGGAAGGGAGTGGCTTCTTACGCAGAAAGTTGTCCAAGCTGGGACCATGCCGGCCTAAGGGATCGTCGGGGGGCATGAACCTGTGGAGGCCACAAGGATTTCTCAGGAGGTGGGAGACACGAGCAGTTGCTTCCAAATGCTAAGGCGTGGGCAGGATGGCTGGCTTTGCTAACCCTAACTCTAAACCTGTCTGTGGGACATACCACAACTCTTCCAAGGTCTTGGCGGGGTTACCCCAAGAAAGGAGGTACCCCAGTCCAGAGGGCCACAGTCAAGGGCCACCTCCCAGGCCAGGTCCTGAGGTCACCAGGAGGTTGCAACCTGAGTATGAGTCTCAGGTTACATGGGTCCCCAGCAGTCTCTGCTGGAGGGAAGCAGGGCTGCTCAGAGGTGGTCTTGAACAGGGCCCTATTCCATCTCCAGAGCCACCATTCCATCCCCCAAATCAAAAATCTCCACCCCACCCAGCCTGCTGTCTGTGCTCCATCTCACTTCTGATGCTGCCTGGTACCCCCACCATTCCTTCTATGGCCACAGGGTCTACACTAACTCCACCCTTCCTGAGGGTGGCTTTGGATGCCCCTCTGGACCACCAGGCCATTAGGTACCCTCTGGTAGGGACATACTTGTCATTGACAAAGGAGTACATGAGCAGCCGCTCCTCGATGAAGCGCTTCCACTCCTGCCGCTCGCCCTGGAGGTCCCGGTATGTGTCGTTGGAGACCACAATCCCATCAGAATCATAGGCCAGCTTCACAATGAAGCGATCATCATAGCACACAACCCGCTTGCCCCCCACACGCCGTGATGGAGTGAACACCAGAATCTTCTTCTTTTCCAATTCCCGGAGGATGTTCTGGTCTAGGGATGATCAGACATAGATGACAGTGCATCAGGACCTGAGCCTGGCCCTGGGCTCCCTAACTCCTAGTGGCCAGGCTAGGCGAATGTTCAGGCACAAGTTCACAGGAGCCAAAGCCAGCTCTGCCAAGGGCATGGTTTGCCAGTTTGCTGGCTGGAGACCAAGCCTGAGTACCTCTCAGCAAGCACTCTGAGACTGGAACTAGCCCTCTGCCCCCTTCCCTGGATTGCAGGCCTGTTCAAGCTGGGAGGTGAGGGGCTATCTAGGCCTTAGCTGTTCTCCCAACTGTCCTACAGAGGTCTGGGAAGAAGGATCTGGGTTCTGTCCCTTGGTAGGCAGGACCAGGCTATTAGCTTCCTTCTGAAAGAAATCCACAGCCCCAGCCAACCTGCCGCTATATCTGGACTTCTAGAGAAACAGAGCTCAGTTGTTATTCCCAAGGTTGCAGGGCAGGGCATCACCCCAAACCCAACCCATTTCAAGATGTAGAGCATGTTGCTCAGAGCAATGCTGATCCTTCCTTGCCTGGGTCAAAGTCAGCATGATTTTCTGAGGCAACTCTTCTCTGGCCTTGAGCTCATTATGTTGCCCAGTTGGCGTCAAACTCACAGCAATCCTCCTGCCTCAGCCTCCCAAGTACTGGGATTATAGGTGTGCTGGCTAACACAGCCAGCATTCTAACCTCGGCTCTCTTGGCCCAGAGCCCACAGGTAAAACTACTAAGCTACCCTGCCTCTGTCACTGGGGATGCAGAGTGACATACTCCCTGTAGGATGAGGGATAGGACTGGACAAGGTGACTTCCAGTGACCACTGTTCAGAGCATGGCTGCTGGGCATAGCAAAAACTAGGGAGACAAATGCTAGACCCCGCTGGATCCAGAAGTTGCCAGCCCCGCTCACGGGGTCTCTCCTGGGGGAGAAATGGCCCATGAAGCAGAGGAGGGACTCCCCCACCTCCAAATGACCACATACCAGTGATGGGCACGTCGGGCCGAGGCTGTTCTTTCCTCCAGGATGGTACGAAAACTGTGATGTCTGTGTGACCTCGCTCGAGGAACCAGTTCACAGCCAGCAGGATGCCTCGGCAGGAGAAGACCTCCTTGTTCCCGTGGCTGGGGGAAGCGGGGAGAAAGAAAGGGGGCCAGAGAGAGAGAGAGGGAGCGTGAGAGAGAGCAGGCCAGACCCCGAGTGCAGCCCTAGGCTACCACCCCCCCAAGGCTGGCCCTCTTGGGAGCACAGGGGCTCAGGTTCTGGCCCAGTGCGGGCTCCCACTGCCTGGACCCAATGTGGGGACTTTCCCTAAGACTCCATTTCCTGGAGAGAGGATCCACCCAGGAATCTGGTAGTGCTTGCTCCTGACAGTGGGGGAGGGTCGGCCGCTTGCAACACACCTGGGGGTGTGAGAAGGTGCTGGAAGACTCCAGGTTCCTGCCCCACCCGGGGAGCCACAGGGACCGCAGGGACCCAGACATGCACACACTGCTTGAGTCACCTCCCTCTGCTCCCCAGCCCTGGGCTCACTCGTCAGCCGGAGGAGGGGGTGGGGGAAGCACCAGTCTGGCTAACTGGAGAGAAACCAGATCGTTCCGGATTAAAGTTCAGTCTGTGTGCAGAGCATTGGGCTGGACCCCAGAGGGCGCAGGGAAGGGGCTGGCCCTGCCACTTGGGCAGGAAATGACTGAGCCCTGGGAGCTGTCAATGAAAGTGAAAGGCTGCTAGCTGCTTTCCTCAGAATAGGCCATTTCCCTGCAACACTGCCCCCCACCCCTTGTTGGGCAAGGCATGACCTGAGGCAAGCAGAAGGCACTAGGGGATCAGCAGCCCTATGAGAGATTGGAGGCGGACGCCTTCCCTGTCTTGGTCTGAAACCAGACCCTACCTCACCCAGAGGTTGCTAGACCCAGAGGAAAGCTTTGAGGTGGTGGGCAGTGGCTCTGACTCTGTTTCTCAGGGTGAAAAATGCGCCCAGCAGCCTGCAGCTTCCTTGGTGGGGTCAGGTCAGTGGGACGACTTTCCTATTGGCTTGAAATCAAACTTGGTCTGGCAGGGTGTGTGTAGGGGGGTACTTGGGTTGACCCCTTCCCCAGCAGCCCCTGCCTCTCCCCAGCCCCTTGGTGAGCAACTAAGACTCATATTTGACAAATTAAACAGAATAAATGTTATGTGAGAGAGGCAAGTCCAGGACAGACCACATCCTGTGTGTGACTCTGGCAGGTGGGGGCAGTCACAGCTGGAGTCCTAAGAGAAGGTAGAGCAGGAGGTGGGGCACCTGGGAGGGCAGGCAGGCTGTCTGGGGCTTCAAGGTCTAAAGGTCTCTGTCAGCAAGAAGGGAGACAAAGTCCAGCCCCCAGGCAGCACTCATGCCTGCCTGGTACCCCAGCCTCAGCCAGCCTGCCTGAGATAAGAGTTAGCATGCACTGAGCTGTGAGCCAGGCTGTTCTAAGTGCCTCCCACTGGATCATCTGCAGAGCCACAGCACAGGACTGTCCTCTCCACCTCCTTTCTCCTCGATGCAGAGAGGTAACTTAGGGGCTGGGGAGATGGCTCACTGGAATAAACACTTCCTTGGCAAGCACCAGGGCCTGAGTTCAATCCCTGGTTCCGCAGGAAAAAAAACAAAACAAAACAAAACCAGAGAGGTAACTTAGTCATCGGGCCACACAGCACAAACAGCGGAGGGCAGAGCTGGTGGTCACGACCACCTTGCATGCTGATGCTTGGATCTGTACCAAGACAGGGTTCAAGTCTGAAGAGTAGGGAAGGTGCAGGGACAGTGGAGGCCGGAGGTATCACCTCATCCTTATAAGGTACCCGAGGCTAAAGGAGAGGGGCTCTGAGACTTCTTACGGGCATCTGGCTAGTAATGAGAGATGGAAGCTGCGCCTGGGTCAGGGGGAACTGGGTTGCCTTCTAGTGCCTACCTAAAGGAGTTGTATTTGGGAACAAAAGCTCCCTGACTTGACTTTGAATAAAGCCTGTCAAAAGGGACAGCATGCTGGGGTCAGGAGAATTGATGTATCTGGCAAACTGTGCACTGGTGCCACCCTCCCTGCGTGCTCTGCTCTGTCTGCCCAGGTTTGTGGGGGTGTGGTTGCCTTTGGCTTGGCTCCTTGTGCCAAGTGTACAGCAGGCACATGCTCCACCTGCCTCCCTCTGTAACACGCGTGTGTATGCACGTGCCCTCCTGGCCAGCATCTTTACATCTCGGGACTTCAAGGGATGCCAGGACTCCCAGGGCGGGTACTGCCTCTGGGCACTGAAATCTTGGCTGCGGACAAGTGAGCTGTCTGCTGCCCTTGCACTGGGCACATCAGGAAGCAGGGAGGGCCCTACTCCTGCCAGAAGCAGAACCCAGCAAGCCCGGAGCTCTCCCCACTGCCAACTCAGTCCTTCACCCTGCAATGAGGAAACTCCACTGTGAAAGCTGTGCCGACGGGCAAGGTGGCAGGCACAGGAGCACTGGACATCCTCTCACCCCTGCTTGCCTCCACTGAGTTCACTGGTCCAAAAGGTTGGACTCCTAACCTGGCTTGCCAGATTTCTGAGATGCTAGAGAGAGACTCCAGCTTGGCTGCTGGTGCCCCAGGACTGAAGAAGGCAGAGAAGGAAGGCAGGGCTGGGCCAGGCTCCCCAGGTGAAAAGATCAGGAGGGGTTGGGTGTAACTAGTGGAGAAAAATTCCATAGAAGGAAACAGAGGTGAATTTCCCCACAATTTGCATATGGTGGGGGCTAGCCCGGCTGCCCTGGAGGGGAGGGGGCAGCAGGGCAGGAAAGGGGCAGCAGCCCAGACAGGAAGTCTAAGGCTGGAATTCCCCTCCAGCCTCTGCTGGCTCAGAAAACCCCTGCAAGCAGGCAGGCAAGCAGGCAGGCAGGCAAGCAGGCAAGCAGGCAGGCAGGCAAGCAGGCAGGAAGGCAAGCAGGTGGTCCTATCTCTCCAGCTTGGCTCCTGTGAATACACTGGCAATACCCTCCTCCTCTGCCCAGGCCCCTCCTCCTGCCAGGATATAAACACAGGTGGCACATGACTGTCTCCAGGTGCAGCCACTTCACACTCATGTCCCGAGGGAAGAAGTCACAGAGCATTCAGCTCCTAACCCAACTTGTGCTAGAGTCTGAGAGAGGACCCCTAACTCTCAAAGTCTGTGATCTGACCTGGAAACCAGTGTTGCTAAGCCCCTCATCCAGGACCAGCCCATTTCAGAGATGAAAGACTGACCTAAGGTGGTGGGAAGAGGGCTCATCTGTGTACATGATGAGCTGGACCAGGACCAGCTTGCTCACCCAGCTTGGCTGGGAGTAGGTGCGGCCACATGCCAGGTTGGGCAGAGGCTGATGTCATGGCAGCCTTAGACAGCCCACTTGGGAGATGCCGCTGGGCAGTAGCAGAAAGTGTCCTCTCTACCTTCTACCCTGTGTTGGGGTCTCCCCTTGTCCATGCCAACAGGAACTTTTCCTTGTGAGTGACCCACCCGCTTCTGACTCACCAGTCACCTCAAAGGGAACTGGGAGAAAGCAGGTTGCAGGGTGGGGCCTGAGTTGAAGGGAGAAGTCAGGGCTCCTTCAAGTTTGCAGCAGCCATGGCCTCACTCTACACCTCCAAACACCCTGCACCCTCCAACCACCATGGATGGACAGTACTAGAGCCCAATCCTGGCTCTGGCCCTGTGAGCCCGAGAGACCAGTTCAGCCCAGTCATAGGTTACTTGAAGCCAGAGCATTAGGCCACCCACTCACACCTCCATGGCCAGGCAGCTCCAGCTACAAGGTTACTCCTGGTCATGGCTATAAAGGTCTCAATAGCTAAGCCTTCTTCCATGGGAGTCCAGGCACAAGAAGCCTCAGGAGATCCAGCCCTTGAATAATCATAAAATAATGACAACTGCTGTTAACTAAGATTGTGTGCATCACTGCTCAATGACCACTTGGGGGCTGGGGGTGCTCCATTCCATACATGAGGAAATAAGACTCACAGTAGTTCAGTGGTTGGCTCCTGAGAGAACTGAGTCCACAGGTTAATTCCCTGCAGGGCTTGCCTCATGTCACACAGGGGGAACTGAGACTGAGAGGGCTGGCCTCAGGAGAGACCTACAGCATATGGGGACCTTGGGACAGAGCAGAACCTGGATCTGAGTCCTTGTTCCGCCATTAACCAGGAGTGTGAAACTGTTCACTGTGCTTCTATCCCTATGACATTCCAACAAAACCCACTTGGAAACATCACTAGATATAAGGGAGCTTCTTGCATACAGGACCTCACACAGTTCCTTGCCATCCACAGACCAAGGCCCTTCTAAGGAGCAGCAGACACAGCACCACCATTCCATGCCTCTTCTTCATGAAGTGACACATACCTCATGGCCACATTGCTTCCATCTATGACCACTGGTCTCAGGTCACTGCCCTCTTTGTCCTCCTCTGGGAGTGAGGGCTCAATGGTGGGAGCCTTGGGGTTGCCCCCGCCGCGGGGCACCAGAGGAGGCTGTGGGCTGGGCTCTGGTGAGCACTGGCGCTCACGCTCGGAGGCTGAACCATGCTTCACCAGCTCCCCCAGCACCGTGTTGGTGTCTGCCTGGACACCCAGCTTCTGCAGGACGCTGTTTATCTCAGAGGCCGAGTAGCCTAGCTTCCGGAAGAAGTCCACTTTCATCTGCAGCTCTGAAGAAGCTGAGCCATTCTCAGCAGCCAGCTCTGAGGCCAGTTGGGAGGTACCCTGGCAGCTGCGGCTGTCCTCAAGACCCCACAGACTCATGGCTGGACTGGTTTCCCGAATGGGCCTCTCTCCACAAGGGTTGCTCATATCTCAGGCTCCCGGAAGGCGCCTTCCACAGTTCCTGTGGGAGAACCACCGGGTTAGGGGTGGGGACTAGCAGTCTCATCTTCTCTCCCACCTGTCCCACCCCACAGGATGAGGCAATACGAACTGGCCAGCTTCCTTCGTGTGTCAGCTCAGGCGGTCTTTTCCAAAGCTCGCTCGGCTCGGGATTACCACTCCCATTACATACAGGGGTAAACCGAGGCTCGAACAGTAGGTATTGGAGCGAGGTCATCCAGCTGATTACTGGAGCCACAAGAGTCGGAACTTATTTGACTCCACCCCCCAAGCTCACCCCCACGCAAACTCAGGGGACTCAGGCTGGGCTCACAGATGGGAACCCGAGGCTGAAAATGCGCTGGCGGAGGAGGGGCTTCCCCGTCGAGGCCGTCACCCTTTTCTGCGTGTCCCACACTCAACAACCTCTGCTCAGGCGGAGTAGGGCGGCCCATGGCTCTTCAGGCCCCGACAGGGCAAATTTCAGGGGTGACCCCCTCCCCCCGGGAAAAAAGTTGCTGGAGGACTACGGTTGGCTGCCGGGCGCCGGTGACGCTAACGATGTCCGGGCCCAGAGGACCGCGCTCTCTCGTCGCCCCCTGCCCTGGGCTCCCCCAACTTGGCTAAGTTGGAGGGGTTCTGGGGACCGGCGTGGCCCACGGCCGGGTCGCACGCCCGTCCTCTGCTCAGACCCCGTCGGCGTCCCGCCCGCGTCCGGACCCCGCGGCCCGCGGCCCCTGCCTCACCCCTCAGCGCGCCGGCCACGAGCGCGAGCGGCGGCGTCTCCATGGGGCCGAGTCCGGGGGGCGAGTCGGCAGCGCCTCGTCGCCGGACCGGGGACAGATGCTTTAAGGACGGTGACGCGGAAGCGGGGCGGCCACCGCCCC